CGGACCATGGTTGGTGAGGGATCTGTTTAACCGACTTTTGAAGATTTTTGCAGTAGGGTGCGCTGTTTGGGCTAGCAACGGCCATAGTGACTTTCTACTGTTAGTTTTCTTAGAAAGTAGTGTCTTCGCATTACACTCGACAGCGAATTTATTCAGGTTTAAGAGGAAAATTCAGTTTGAATTTTCTCAATGCCCGACAGAACATGTGGGTATGGTGCTCGGAAAAGTGATGGAAACCACTTGTAACCCTAACAGCATTGGCTGTTCCTGTTGTATTGCTAACCGGTGGATGAAAACTATAATAATTTTCAAGTTTCTACTTTTTGCTAATCTTTTAAATCTTATCTGAGACGTCACTAAAATATGGAACTTTTTAATTCACTAAACTCTCCAGAGTACTTATCAAAGTGTTATGGTCACTGGTTTCCGGCGATTATCGGTACCCCAGTCAGTTTATGTGAATGAGAAAAATTGAGGATTGCGATGGTAATACTAACTATTGCTTAATTGACGCAGCATTCCTGCGCCGATTTTATGGAGTTTTGAAAACGTTTTATTGATGTTGTAGGGCTTTAGTTTCAGTTTCCTATAACCAGTTATATTTTCTGAAAGCAGTGGTAAGAAATGCAATGAATATTTATAAAACAAAGAATTTCAAGGTCATGAGGATTTATACGACAAGAATTTACCATTTTAAAAGACAATACCACTCTATGAAATAATGTAGAAAGAAAAAATGGCTTTAAACGATATTCTGCTTCTGGGATTTTTGGAGCAAGAGGACTTTAGAGAATTGGATTAAAAAACTGCTTTCTGCATAGGATAAGAAAATAAAAGTTAAAAATGAAAAGGAATCGTGTACCTGACCCTTAAGAATATTTCGGAATGGTTCTGCAAGTAGTTCCTGTCTCTTAGCTGTAGATAAACCGAGCAGTCCTTTGAAAGTTATACCGATATATTCAATTTTATATAATAGGTCAATAATTTTTTCCGCTGAAAGTTTCCGTTTAGTTCATCATTTTTTTCTTTTTTTTTTTTTTTTTTTTTTTTTTT